TGAGAGCCCGTTACCCATCTCTGACAGGTGAATGGACAGGTTGGGATTGGATGTACGTGTACAGTGCAGATCTCAGTGTGTTCACACTTCTGGTGTTCGATCAAAATTCAAAAGGCATTTGGAACAAAATATTTATAATGTGAGCAGGATTTTTTTTTTCCCCACATGTCCAGATACTCACTTGCTTTGGGACTCTGACTCATGTGGCTCAATGCAAGGGGTGATGGCTCCCTTGATGTCAGCAGTGACTTTTGGGATCAGCTCTGGGGAGCAGAGGGGGCTGTTCCCTGCAGGGAGGCTGCAGGCACTGAGTGCATTGGAAAGCACCTCTTGGCAGGAGTGGGAAGGTCAGGACAGCTTTTCAAGATGCCCCTGACAGCAACAAGAACAGCATGGGGAGGGAAAGAGCCCCCAGGCAGCTGTTCATGGTGACAGAGCTGCTGAGGAGGCTTTGTGTGTTTAGTGGCTCAGCCTAGATAAGCCCAAAGAGGGGACCGTGGCTCTGCCCTCTAAGTACAAGGGCCACAATATCCAAAGGCTTAATCCTGAGGTTTATCCTGACTCTGAGATGGTGGATTAGGAAAGGTTCAGTTTAACACTTGGTTGCATCAAGATGTGGAATATTGATCCCCTCACTGCACTGATTCCTTAGGGACAGATGGACCTTCTGTGGGGCAGAAAGTGGGCAGAGATTTGAAGATTAACTAGTCAGCTGCAGTAAAGGCTGTGGTGAATAAATCAGCAGTGTGTGACTGTGTGTGCAGGGGGAATGCAGGGGAAAGAGGTAAACTGTGAACTGGTTCTGATGCCTCCCGTGTCAGAGCCAAGGCTGAGCTCACAGCAGAGCCAGTGACAGTTGACCTGGAGGGTGTCTGGCAGGACTGGGCTTTGTAGGAGCCCTCTTGGGCCTCCTCTGTGCCTTGCATGAATTCTCACTGTGCCTTCAGTTCACTTCTGCTTGCTGTTGCACTGCAGACCTGCTGCACGTGGAGTGTTTCCGACAGGTCCAGGCTGTGGGGTTGGGAACAGAGCACGTTCCTCTCTCAGGGACACTCCTGGTACCACACAAGGTACAAGGACTCCTGGTTTTGGGTAGGACAGGCTGACATGGCTCCACATAACAGAGAACACGTGCTTGAGCACAGGACACAGACACCCAGCACACAGGGAAGATCCACACACAGCAGTGTCACTTTATTAGGTTTGTGGGCTCTGGCACAGCGTGGCTGCAGTTTGGGAGCCCTGTGTGCCCAGGGCACCCCAGGGCAGCCCTGCAGGAGCCCAGGGAAGCAGCGTGCACAGTGCCCAGGGGGAAGCTCTCGCTCCTCTGGCTGCAGGCAGCAGCAGCACTGCTCAGATAAAGGGGCACTTGGATGCAAAGTGGCAGCCCGGGGAGGGAAGACAGATGGAGACACAAAAATACAAGTGCCAGCTCTGTAAGGGGATGCTCTTGTGAGGGGAATAACTACAGGGACAGGCTTGGCTCAGGAGAGCTCAGGGGTCTTTTCGGGATGGGGATTCACAGCCCTGAGTGATATCAAGAGGCACAAGTGGGAGAGTGAAGTGCTGTCTTGTCAGTGAGCACATGGAGAACCAGACTGGTTCTTCTTGCAGAGATGGAGTGAGGCAAACCAGCTTTGTGTGTGCAGGGTATCTCCTCCCTGTAGAGTCAGACTGGGGGACCAAACACTTGCTGCACGAGGCATGGCAGGGAGGGGCACATGAGTTTGTTTTCATTCCTGGACCCCACCCCCAATTTTTTCTAACCCATTTCCCTAAGTCGTTGTCATCTCTCTCTCTCCCAGCGATTACTCTCGGTTGTCATCTGTCTGAGGGAGCCAAATGAAGCCCCAGGGTTGGACACCAGACAGGTTTCTGTTCCCAACACTTGCCTTGATAAATGGATGCTGGGAACAGTTTAAGGGAAAAGGATCCAATCCCTCTTGCTTTGCATTATCACTAAAAATGAAACTAATAGCACTTGGCAGCCAAGCTAGAGCCCCTCTGTGGTAAGCAATGACATCTATTGTTTATAAATGGGAGAAGCCAAGGTTCTCAGTGCAGGCCACAGGAGCAGTTGGTGACAGAGCTGTGACAGGGCTCTGGGTTTCCCTGGTACGTTCTCAGACACAAGGTCTTATGTTTTTCTTTCCTACTTTCTTCCACTCTTTACCTTCCAGAAAATAAGCCTAAAGTACCCCTTTAAGTTAAGGAGTGCCCAAGTCTGGGAGCAGGCGGGGGGGGTGTCTGGCTCAGGGTTAATGGCTCAGGAGAGAAGGTCTGCAGGACTTTTAGGTCATCTCCCGTCCGATGGGAGATCATCAGTGCAAGTGGTGAGGCTGAGCCTTGTGGTGCAATCTCAGATCCATCCCCACTCAGTCCCCTCGAGGAAGGCTGGGCGGCGGCTCCTGGCGCGTTGCAGGCGCGTTCCTACGCAGAAGGGCCCAGTGCTCTACAGCCAGAAGCAGCACCATGCAGAGACCATCCAGAGGCCGTGGGATGCCCTGAGGGCAGTCAGCTCCAGCATGCAGGCCCCAGCTGAGCGTGGCTACGGCTCCACTGTCACGCTGCTCATGGTGACACGGGCCCCGTACCAGCCCTTCCAGAACAGCGTGTCCTGCCCGCCGTGCTCGAAGCGGACAAAGCGGACCCCGGGCCCGTACTTGGAAAAGGTGTGGGAGATCTTTGGGACAAGAGACAAAATGGGTTGTTGTTGGTAAGCATCAAAGCACCGTGAACCTACAGTGCACAGAGCCTTCAGCCCCCACCCCAGCCCCAGTCATGCCTGCCAGGCTGGGTAACAAGGGGACATTTACAGTGGAAGGAGCTTTGATCCCATTATCTTTTTCAGAACCTCTCCCAGCTGGACATCTCCTTCACTTTACACCTGCAGTGGTGACTCAGCAAGTTTCCAAGTTTCCTGGAAGGTAGCCTCCCAGTATAATCCCTTTGTTTGATCACAGGGTCATGGCTCCAGAGAATACGTGACAGAGCCTTCTCCTCCTCCTCCAAAAGAACTTTCCTGCTTCCCTTTGCTTCAAAATATTCCCGATTCATGGAGGTTGGGCGTCACCTGCTGAGCCCACGGCTGCAACTCACCTCAGTCCAGCTGCCATCGTTGTCCTGTGGGATGGTAACAGTCTCACTTTTGTACTCAGCCAGCACATCCTCGTTCTCCGAGAGCAGCTTCACGCAGAGCTCGTAGAGGCAGCCGGCGTCGCGGCGTGCCGCGTACCTGCAGGGACACCCCGCTGCTGGCACCACCTGGGAGCTCTGCCGAGAGCCAGAACACGGCCTCTCCACTCCCACCAGCTCACTGGGGCCTTGCTTTGAGGTGAAAATGCTTCTTACCCCAGCCCACCACCTCCCCTCGTTCACAACAGGAACCTGGGCTTTGGAGTTCAGGTGCACCAACAGTTTGAAGCTTGTGAGCCCCGTCCCCCTTCCAGGGCATCCTGGCAGCTGAGGTTTTAGGGCTAAGTAGATACAAGGTACGTGCCCTCCCTGCCCTTCCTCTTCTTTCTTGGCTCTCTGCCAGCCTTCTGAGGCATCCTTGCTACTTACCAGTCTCTTACCACAATTTTAGGCTGGGTTGTGTCCATCAGCTCTTCCCAGTAGCCCTCAGCCCGAAGGTCAATGACCTGAGCCTTTCGACACCACCTGAAAGATAAGATGTTAATGGTATCACAGTCTCTCCTGGGACTGGGGGAACCAAAAACGTTCCCTTCCCTAAATAAGAGAAGAAAGCAGCCTTACTCATAAGATGTAACAAAGTATTTATGGACTTCTTCACTAGGGAATTCTTTTCCAAAGTCCCCTGGGAGCTCTTCAATTTTCCAGCCATCACCTCCATTCTCTACCTCTCCCCAGTGCTCCAAGTCTTCTGCAAATGGCAGAAAAGAGACTTGGATGAGTCTTAGTTTCTGTGGGCCTGGGGAACCCAGCCATCTCCCACTGGAACCTTCTTTTGGCTTGTGAAGGTTCAGTGTTAGACACAGCACTAATTTGGTACAGTGGACTGTGGATATGTTAAGTGGAGGTCAGGCAAAAACCTTTAGTCTGGCTGAGCTCAGTATTATCAAACTTCAACATTCCCCAGCAAAATGGGCTGTGTACTTGTGGCTTTGTTTAAGGGAGTACTCCAGGGAAAGGATTTAGGTATTCTGAGCAGTGTTATCAGCACTTCCAGTGGTCACAAGACAGAAACAGCCTGGGGAGAGATGCTGATTGCTTTATTTCTGTTTCCTAAGTCGCTAAGTGGTATTTTCAGAAGCACTAAGGCCTTAAACATAGGGCTTCTCTGGTCTTAGCCAGAGGGAGCCTGGTTGTTGGAAAAGCTTGCAGAAAGTCATCTGTAAACAAAATGGAGAAGCTGTGTTGATATTGCTTTGGTCTATGATGTGTGAAATTGCTGCTGCTTGGGTTGTGAGGCTTTGTTTACCGCTGCTCACTGCTACTGCAGCTCTGGGAAGTGAAGTTCATGGATCCAGAATAATGGCACGTGGGCTGTGTGGGGAGGGGAAAAACATGATTTGCCTGAGCAGCTCCAAGGAAAGAAGCCTGAAGGGCTGGTGAGCTGAGGGCAGACAGGCCCCTGAGCAGGGAAAGGTTTCCTCTCTCCTGTCACAGTTTGGCAAGAGGCAACACAGAAACAGATGCCACGACCATTACGGCATTGGATGGGTTCTGCAAAGGACATTTTTGTCTATCAAACACGATTTGGATCCCTGCAGAGGTTATATAAACCTAATGTGAATCAAAGCCCTTTGCAAAGTGATTATCAAAGGCCTTCGTGCCCATTAAATGGTTTGGCTGCGTGCAATGAGTGATTTGACTCTTGGGCAAGGAGAAAATTCTGCAGCCTGACAGCAGCCAAGATCTATTTTCAGAGAGTGCAAATGCCCAGTTGTCTTATCTCTCTGAAATCTTGGGGCACGTTGTGCTTGTCTCTCACCTTCACCACACGGGTTCTTGATGAGATTCTTCTTTTTCTTACTCAGGAAGTAGAAGTTTTGCCAGTTCTCTGCATCCTCCTCTGCCTCTGCCCCGGTGAGCCCTTCCTGCTGACACTTCAGGATCCAGAGTGCAGCTCCATCCACCAGGTTCTTCCACTGGCAGCAGACCAGGCGACACACCAGCACCAGCTCCACTGCAGGTATGGCAGCCAGGATTCGGAGCAGGACTGCTTCAGGGAGGGACTCCATCCCCGGGCTCAGCAGTGCCAGACACTGACTGAGGCAGCAGGAAAAAAAGGGAAAAGAAGTGTGTTATTTTGGGGTCATAGATTTCTTCCTGACCTCAGGGCCTCCTGACACCCATTAATATCCTGAAGCAGATGAATATTTTATGTCCTAAGTGAAAGCCCTGAGTTAAATCCCCCCACAAAATGGAAGTACTTGACATCTGCAACTGTGGGCAGCTTGTTTGTTTCCCAGATTGGCATCAGTCCTTCCAGAACCTCTGCTGCTGCAAAACTCAGCTTCTTAGTAATTATTTCCTCTGCAGAGGGAGGCACAGGGGTGTTTGTTCTGCCTTTAGGAACGTCCCTGATAACAAATGCTGCAGAGCAGGACCCAGCAGTGAGCATCTTGCCAGCCAGTGGTTCATTCTATATCTGATAGGCTTTCCCTCGGGGGGCTGGCACTTAATCCCCTTAGTCTGTATAAAGTACAGGTCTGAAAATAACTCAGCTGATATTCTCTAATATTCCATTTTCTGTGGCCTCATAACCTGAGCCATCAAGTCAGAAGTGTGTGCTCCAACTTCATGTGCTAATTCTGGACTCCAGACAGCTCTGTGCTGCCCTGAGGTCCAGGTGCTGCAGGACTAAGGAAGGATGAGTGTGCAGATTCAGACCCTGTCACCAGTGAGGGATGCACTGTGACACTGCTGTTGTGTCAGCTGAGTCCTGGGGCTGGGAAGCTGCTGAGACTGCAGTGAACTGCATGGATGCAGCCAAACTCCTCAGGAACGAGTCATTAAGCCTGGGAGAGCAGCAGGAACAGAGGGGAAATATCCTGACATGTGACTTGAAGAAATACAGCAGTGCCAAACCGGGCAAGGGAGGGAAGAAATAGGGAGTCACTGCTGTAACAGCATCCTAATGTTCAGATGCAGAGCACTGTGTGTCCTTTATCTGCACTGCAGCCAGCGGGGACAAACTGGCATTTAAAATTCCCTGGCTTTTCCGGGGATAGCATTAGTGATTTCCCATTCTTTCCCATTCCCACCCCCCCTCCTCACTTCCAACCCTCCACCACAGTCCTGAAGGCTAAAACGTAGTTTAAACAACAACAACAACAACAACCCCACCAAAACTAGAAACATGAGCAGTCTCCCGGTTTGATCTCTTACAGGAATTCCAGAGGCCCGGCGTGCTGATGGAGCACCGCCGCTCCCCTCGTTAGCGAGCATCCCCTGCGCTCGGGAGAGGGGAGGAGGTACCTTCCCTTTCCCACTGCGGTTCGCAGCATCCTCCCTGGGACCGGTCTCTTCCCAGGAAAGCGATCCGCATCCCCCTTGGGGACCGGTCTGCATCCCCCCCCCCAGGGACCGATCCACATCTCCCCCGGGACCGATCCGCATCCCGGCATCGCGGGCAGCGCCCACCCCGGGCCGTGTCCCCGTCTGTCGCCGGAGACAGCCCAGGACAGCCCCGCACGGGCTCGGGGTGACACCGAGCGCTCTTACCTGGGCGGGAGCTTCGTGGCCGGGCGGGCTGGGCTGTCCCGACACTCGGCTGCGGGTTCGCCGAGGGCGGTCCGGGCTGGCCTGATAAAGCCTGGCGGCCCCGCCCGCGCTCCTCCCTCGCCCGCCCCGCGGAAGGGCCGCTCCCGCACATCCGGGGCCGGAGGGCGCACGTCGGGACCGGAGCGGGGCTGGGGCCCCGACCCGGAGTTTTTGGGGCCCGGCCCGCTGGGCTGCCCATGGCTCTGCCCCTGCCTTAGGCGGAGCCCGTGTTTGTTTGCCCCGGGGCCGCGGTTTCCCCCCCTCGCCCTCAGCCATGACAACCATCGGAGACCTCCCCGAGGACGTGCTGGTGCAGCTGCTGTCGCTGCTGCCCGCCCAGGACCTGCTCCGCAACTGCCGCCTGGTGTGCTCGCAGTGGCGGTACGTGGTGGACCTCAACACCCTCTGGAAGAGGAAGTGCCAGCGCGACGGATTCTATGAGCAGAGCCTGGACAGGAACGTCTCCGACTGGAGGGTCTTCTACATGCTCTGCCGCTTGAAGAGAAACTTAATCAAAAACCCCTGCGCTGAAGGTTGGTTTCGTTATTTTATCACTTTAAGAGTTTCCGAGAAGTCAGAGTGAGTCACTGTATCCTGCATGACTCAACTGCTGGAGCTGCAGGGCTGTCCAGCTGCTGGTGGAGCGCTGCTGGGTCACATCCAGCTCCACTCCAGCAACAGAACTTCAGTAGCTAGGCGGGTGTGTATTTACCAGTACTTTGTGGTTGCAACCAGAAAAATCTGGAGTCACAAGGCCTCAGCACTGTAGACGGTGAGAATTAATTTGCACAGCAAGTACAAGGTGGTAACGAAACCATCAGGTATTGGCATTAAACATTTGGGCAGCTGGAGAACTTTGTGTTATCAAAGACTTGACTAATAGGATTACAGTAATTTTATTTTATTGCTGATGATGAGTTTGTGATGTGGTCAGAAAGCTGCTACCTACTGTGCCAGCTGCTGACAGCCACATGAAAAGCAACCTAATGACAGGAGCCACTTCCAGTTGTAGGAAAAATACAGTGGATCTGAAAACTCCAAGTAGCTTAATAGAATTCTCCTGTAGCTGACTCTTTAATGAAAGCAGAGCCCCTGCTGGTAGCTGAAGTGAGGTCCTAACCCTCATCTTGGACACCTGTGTTTGTAGAGAAATTCCAGCACTGGACAATTGACCGCAACGACGGAGATGAATGGAGAATTGAGCAACTGCCTGGAGCTAATGGAACTATGATGCCAGACCCCACAGTACAAAAATACTTTGCCACTTCATTTGGGTAAGAACTGGATTCCAGTCATCTGGAGCTGGAAACCTCTTTCCCCCTATGTGTGTCTGCACAGTTAGAAAGCTTCAGGCAGGTCACTGAACCTTAGCCCAGCTGTGGGAAAAGGAAGGAGCTTAATTAAGTCTTTATGTCATTTAGTCTGAAGTATAGTTACAGTAATTCTCCTCTCCCACAGTTGATGGGCAAAGGTTAAGGCTCTGGCAGACATAATCAGCTGCACTTACCTGACAGGGTCACAGCTCTGGAACCTCCAGGAATGGTAGGTGTGTCATGCAAACAGAGTGTAATAAAAGCTGTCCACAGAGGAGGAGTAGCTGCTTTTACATGCACTAGGCAGTGGTTTTTTGTTCCAATACACAAGTCCAAGGACCCCTCTTAATCCAGCTTGTAGGTAACTATCCCTTTCATCTGGGGGTGAAGCTAATTCAGTTCATTTCCTTATCTAGTTCTGGCTATGGGAAAGACAGGCCTTGTCAGGTTTGTGGGCCTTCCAGGTCTGGGCAGGCAGTAAACCTGTCAGGGAAAAGACATGGACAGTGAGAGGGAAGAGATGTGTTTTGAGGAACTGAGAGTATTTCTGTGGCTGTTTCAGGCTATGCCTCAAGTCCCAGCTCATTACTCTGCAGAACGAAGGATACGGCAATCAGCTGATGGATGAGATACGGCCTGAAATCATAGTCAAGGACTGGTAAGAGGACACACTGAAAACCAGAACTTCTGGCATGGGCCTAGAATTAAGCCAGGCCTGTGGAGCTTTTCATGCTATAAAATCAGTTCTTTATCCTTCGGGAGTTGCAGCTGTCGAGTAAAGCATAAGCGACATCTCAGCTTATTAAAGGGGTGTAAGGAGAGGTGGCAGTCCTGGGAAGGGACAGCTGGAAGTTGTAGAACTTCTCCATAGCTATGGGGATGACAGTCCTTCTCGTGTGCAGACAGAGATCTTCTTGGAGACTTGTTTCTGAACCCCAGAGGGAAGGGAAGGCTGTCCATACAGCCCTGCTCCTTGGTTCCTCTGCCTCCCCAGGTACGCTGCCAGGTCCGACTGCGGGTGCCGCTACGAGCTGACGGTGCGGCTGCTCTCGGCTGATCACATCGTCCTGGAGGAGTTCCACCCCGAGCCCGTGATCATCGAGCAGTGGAACGATGCCAAGTGGAGAGAGGTGAGCAGCAACCCCGGGGGCAGGAGCTTTACATCAGTTCTGTGGCACTTGAGTCTTGCCAGTCTTACTTGGCCAGAAGTCGCAGCGGTCCTTTCTCTGCTCTTCAGCCTCCTCGATACAGCAGGTCCTCCTCTATACAGGAGTCAGTCCTTGCTGTTGATGATGCCAAAGCAGTGGTGCCCTGATCAAGTCCAGTTCCTTTTTAGGTGCCCAGGATTTTCTACAAAATATCCCCTGGGCTTCTGTGTTGTTTTATAGCTCAGTCTTTTTAATGGTTTCTGGGTTTTACCTAAGTTTTTGTCTTAAATAACTAAGCCACAACAGCAGACTGCTGTTTTATTGGATCAAAAACCTTTGTTTTAAAACTACTGTGCAAGGATGGCCAAGTCAGTGGCAAACCCATGACAGGTTCGGGTCAGTGCTGGCAAATTAAGAGGAAATCTCTTATTTCTCTCCAGATTTCCCACACGTTCCAGAATTACCCAGCAGGAGTTCGTCACATCTACTTTCAGCACGGAGGGCAGGACACCCAGTTCTGGGCAGGATGGTATGGGGTCCGTGTGACAAACACCAGCATCACCATTGGGCCCCACACGCTCTTGTGAAGGCACAGTAAAAGGCTTTGCTTTACCTCAGGACTGTAACCAGGTGGCCTCAGGTGCACTTTTTGTCTGTACTCTCTGGGTGGGTCTCCTTTGTCCTGCAAATGCAAGCAGCTTTTTTTTCCTTGTTCACAGCAGAGCTTGGTTTGTACTGAACTGTGTAACCCAACATAAAATGTTAAAGCAGTGCCCAGCCTCGATCTACATTGTTCTTGCACTTGTTATCTGGAGGAATCAGGAGGTGCCAGGCAGGCTCTTGCACCAAATTCCACCTTGCTAATGGCACCTGTGGGTGGGAGGTCTCCCGTGGAAAAGAGGGAGACCAAGGTTGTACAGCCTTTCATAGGAACTGACAGAGACCACATATGTGCCAGGAAAGTGGTGAACGCTCCACAGAAAAAATACTTCACTTAAGAAGGGAGGCTGGTTTGAACAGGACTCAGCCCAGTTCAACTGGGGTAAAATTTCATATTTATTGAAGACTACTTGGGACAGTCACAGTGGACAGACACTACCATAAGGCCTCACTCCCCCTTAGCACGAGTCCATTGCTCTCGTGGAACAGCTCCTTGCTGTCCATCCCTGCCCCTGTGCAAGGGAGCTGCCCCACCAGGTGAGAACAAAGCACTGACTCCCCAGGGACACACCGTAACAACACCTGCACTCACTCGCACACCTGGGGACAGGGGAACAGGCTCTGGCTCCACATTCCAAGTCAGTTCTATATACAGTGGTAAGAGCACTTGAAATTAAGAGGCAGCAGCTGCTCTACATTCACCAGAAGGCTGGCTGAAGAGATGGTTCTCAAGGTATGGTTTGTGACAGATCTTATTCCGCTGGAAGATCACATGAGGCTCGAAGGCAAGGGGGAGTTGAAATCAGGTGCCTTTGTGGGCTCGCTCCTCTACATAGAGCTGCATCTGGAGGGGAGAAATCAGCCATCAGTCCTGTTTGGTGTACAGGTAGGTGGATGGGGAAAAGCCTGCAAGAGGCTGGATAGGAAGGGTTTGTACCTTCCCCCATAACCAGGGGGTTATTTTATTATGAGGAGTCTTGCCCTGCTTTGATTGCTGGCACAGACACCTGCAAGGCTAAGCTACTGCTCAGCAGCATTAAAGTTGTCCCCCCACAGCAAACTGCAGAGCTGGTGAGAGAGCAAAGCTCAGAACTACAGCAGGTTCAGCCACCTCTTGGTCTGATCTGCTTACCTTTAAGATGTCAGATGTCATGGTTTTCAGGGGGATAAGCCGGGGGTCGTGCATGTGCACGTCCTGCTCATCAGCAAGGATCCACGGGAAGTCCTGGGGGCAGGAACACAAAGGTGTGTTACTGGCAGAGCCTGGCAGTGCTGCAAGGTGAGCTCCTCCTCAGTGTAACGCTTGTACACTTGGCCCTGAGACTCAGCATAACTGTCTCCAGCACCAAACTGCGATGTCAACCCTCTTTGCTTACTGCAAAGGGGACACCTCACTTCTTTAAAAGATACACTCTCAGCTGTCATGAGCTACCATGTTCTTCTGCCCCTTACACCAGCATTTAACTGCAACTCCTGAATGCCTGGGGCATGGATTTCCATCCTGCCTTGGAAGTTTAAAGCTTGGCCTACTACACTTCCAGTTTCCACTGCTAAGCAGTACAGAGCCATTAAAACAATTTTATACTTCACTAGCTTTATTCATTGTGCCTTAGGACACATAGTATAACTTGGCTCAGGAAAAAGGTTTCCCTGTATTTGTGCAAGGATGCTTAAGAAGTCTTGCTTCAGAAAGTGATCTGTACACACTTTCAAATTTATTTATGCCCCCAAACCCACTAGTTACCTGAATCTTAGTCTGCCTTGCTCCTTATGCAGAATCAGCCATCCACACAGTGGATGGGGGATGAGAGCTGCTTTTTATTGATAAAATTCAAGTACCTGCTCTACCTGTCTGAGCACTTCTAAGTGACTGAGCAGGCACTGGGCAGTGAGTGTTGTTACACTCGTGTGGTGGGTGCTCCCACCTCCCCAGCACAAACCATTTCAACCCACATCAAGAACAGCTGTGAAGTGCATCAAGTGACACTAAGTACATGTTCAAAACAGGTCAGCCTTAACCTCAGAGAGGCCAGAACTCTGATCTGCCCAGTCTCTGCTCTGCAGCTTCTCACACACAGTCAGGTGCCCAAAGGTGTCACTCACCTTTATCACCTGGATCTTTTCCATGTTCCGTGTGGCAGCCTCCCGTGTGTGAACCAGAACTGTGAAGGTGCAACCTGAGAGAGAAAGGGCAGGTTCCAGCTCCAGGGACAGCTCCCAGGGGATGGGCCAAGCCAAGCAATGCCAGGCATCATCAGGCTGTTTGGATCCCAGTGGCGTTTACCTGGGGGGTTGTTGTCCAGCACAGCGTCGCACACGCTGATTTTCAGGATGAAGGCACGGAGTAACTGCTCCACGTGGGACAGCAGGGACTCAGAACTGTGGAGGACACAGCAGTTGTTACTGGCAAACAGCAAAGGCCTGGAGCTGCTCCCAGAACAGCCCTCAGAGGCAGGTGCTGGATGCCACGGGCAAGCAGGAGTGGAAACCTCACCTAATGGAGAGCAGAGGCGGCTGGGTGATCTCAAAGACAAATCTCTCCACCGGGTGGTGCTCTTTATCCAGGATTACAACCACAACTTTCTCCACGTCGTTCTGCAAGAACAAAGATAAGAAAAATCCCTTCCTTAAAACAAGCTGTGTGCTGCCCCCAGCGTGCTTTGATATAGTGGGAGTGCATTCCCACTGTATTTGTTGAGGCTCACGGCACAAGCAGTTATCCAAAGCTGGAGCTCAGATTATTCTTAACAATCAGAAAAATTGCTTTTGCAAAGCCACTTCTTGCTGGATTTTAAACTGACAGCTTGTGGCTAAGGCTGAGAGAGATGGGTGTGCTAAATTGTATGTTTCTCCAGATCCTGTTTTGGAACAAAGGAGGAGATGCAGCCATCTCACTGCATCATCCCTGAGGAGATGGACACCGAGGGAGGTAAGAAACACTCAGACCACTGGCCAAACAGAGCAGCTTTGTACAACCACAGTGTACAACTGACCTCATTCTGTTTTCTAAACGTGCATTAAGATTGTCTGTAAAGAGCAAGGAACACAAAACCTGCCAGCAGCTTCCTGGAATGTTTCACAGGTCACACCTCTCTCTTACAAAAGCATTCAAACTGTTCTGCCAGAACAGCTAAACTGGGATGGATTCAAAAGCAGAATGTTAAAGTGCAGGATGATGTAACTAGAAATACACAGGCATATGTCCTCAGGTGCAAGTAAAAGATGCAGCAAGGCCTTGACTGCCAGAAAAGGTTATGGGTGTTGCTTTTAGTTTTGTTATGAACTTTACCGGCTAGTATAGTGTATATGGTAAATTAGTAAATAAAGGTTGCAGTTACGAGAGTATTTATGTTCTCTTACTTTCTATCAGAGCCACTTGCAGTACTTTGGTCCCTGACTCGCTCTCACCTTCTCCAGCAGTGGCTTTACACAGTGCAGCGTGTCCTGGATGTATTGGTTCAGCTCCGGGTGGCAGGACATCTGTAGCAAACACAGGGAAGAGTCAGAGCTGTGTTTAATGTGAAGCAGGACAGTGCTAAAAGGGGAGATTTAAACAGAAGCACCAGTGTGCACAAGGCACTCGAGTCATGCTTCAACTACTGGTGAAAAATGCTGAGTTGCCCATTCAAACCAGCAATTCTTTCAGGGAAGGGTTAAATCAGCTGAGGCAGATCACTGCACCCACACAGTTGTTGTCTATCAGGAAAATATATCCACAACAGCATATTGGGAATAGCATATTCCAGCCATCCCTACTTCCTAGGAAACATGCTTTCCTGTTACCTCACTGCACAGAGATGGGGAAGCCTTCTACTACTGCTGTCCATGACCTGCTTGTTCCATGAGCACTGCTGTATCCTCAGCTACAGGGCTGCTCTCCCTTAGGACAGGAACTAATTTCCCTTCAAAAATGAGTTTGCACATTAAAACAATCACTTCCAGAGAACAAGTTTTCATTCTAGTGAGTGTTGACTAATCCTTGCTATTTTGCTTGTCCACGTGGCTGACAGCTTCTGGGAAAATCTCCTACCTGCACAGGTACATTGTATTTTTTCCTCTTCTGAAAGATCCCGATGGGGTAAACTTCTCTGACGTACAAGATGAGGTGAACAGCCACTTCCAGGAACTCTGAAAGAACATCTGCAACAACTGAAAAACAGAAGTAAAGAATGCTGGAGTGGGGTGGGGTGGGGAAGCAGAGCAATACCACAGACTCAGAGGAATTTTTTTTTTTTTTTGGTACATGAATTTCACGTGCATCCCCTTGGCCGCAGGTGGTTTAGGGATAGACCAACCCTCCACAAACACTCAGTGCCAAGGAGAAGGCTCACAGGGGCATCAGCTTCAGCTCAGCACAACACGTTACCTTGCCCAAAGTTGAGGTCCTGCCGTGTGAGGGTTGTCATCTTCCCCAGGCCCTGGAAGGAACCACAAAAGCAACGTTTATCCTCTGGCTGCTCCACCAGTGTCCTACAGAGACCTCTGCTGAACCACAAACATTCCAATCAGCTCTTTAGACACCGATTTTCAAGCTGTTTCAGCTGCAACAAACTACATTTTCCAGACTTACAAAGGATTAGTTTAACCTTCACAAAACAGGGAGCTACCCTCGTAACCCTTTCTTTTAAATCAGAATCCTACCACTGTATACAAAGATTTCCTGGAATATCCGTGATCTGCTACACTAAATAAAATTAAGATCCCTAAGCATCTCTCTAGTCCTCCAGCCACAGTGACTCTCACATTTGTAAAAAAGATCTCTATCAGAGCAGCATAAACGTTTTGAGTTTTCAGAGGTTTAGGTTCACATCCTCACCTAAACATCACCCCTCCTTAAAGAGAGGCCCCAGTGAGGGAAGAGCATCCCGAGAGATCCACCCTTCCCTGCAGGACGCTGGGAGGGATGGGGGATATCACATAACACTAATCCATCATCTGCCAACCCCCCCCCCACCCGTGTCTACAGGCCGAGCTCCCGGGACAGCCGGCCCTGCTCCCCGGCCGTGCCCTGCCCGCGGCCGGGCTCCCCGGGCAGGACGGAGCGTCCCCGCTGCCCGGCCCGCTCGAGTGTCCGTCACCCCCGGGCACTCCCGGCCCCGCGGGGCACCCGCATCGGCACGACCTCCCCCCCCAACCCCGCTGTCCCTGTACTTCAGTGTCCTCCCACCCCGCTGTCCCCATACCGCGCTGTCCCCATCCCCGCTGTCCCCTCCTTTCCTCCCCATCCCCGCTGTCCCCCCCGGTTCCCTGCTATCCCCGCTGTCCCCCCCGGTTCCCCGCTGTCCCCCCCGGTCCGTACCGGCCCCTCCGCCCGTTTCTCTCCCGCCCAGCCCGCGGATGGGAGCGGGGGGGGGGAGAGGGGGGGAGGCGGTGGCGGCGCGCGCGGGTGACGTCACGCTCGGTGGTGCCAAGCGCCCCCCAGCGGGCGGGAGGAGCGGGCGCGGGTCCCGGCGCTGCACCCCGAGGGTCCCGGCGCCCCCCGCCCGTCCCCGGCGGCTCCCCCGGGACGGCGGGGCCGGGGCGGGGAGAGGGGGAGATGCTGCGCCCCTCGCTGGGGTCGCTAACCCGCTCCGCGGCCGGAACGCCGGGGAGCCCCCGCTGCGAGGAGCGGGGGGCGCGAAGCCCGCCCCGCCGCGCAGGTGAGCGGGGCCCGCCCCGGGGCTGCCCCGCCTTTGTCTCCGTCCTTTGTCTGCCCCGTCCGTGCCCGGGGCAGGCACCGCTGCTGCCAGCAGCACCCTGCGCTCCCGCACCTCCTCCTCCTCCGCGCTGGGCACCCCCGCGCTATGCGCCCCTCGCATGCCCCTGCACCCCCCTGCAGACCCCCTTGCACTCTCCCAGAGCCCCCCTCTCCGCAGCCCCCCGTACGCCCGGAGCCCCTCCCAGCCCCACCTCCTCCCGCACCATGCACCCCAGTCCCCCGGGATTCCCGGCGTCCCCGGTTCCTCTCCACATTCCCCCACTGCCTTCCCCCTGTCTCCTCCTCCTGCTCCTCCTGCTCTCGGGTTTGAACACCCGCTGCCCCCGGCAGACCTGCCTCCCCTCCGCCGCTCGCACAGCTCTGCCCTGCCGTGCCCTGCCCTGCCCTGCCTGCCGGGCTCCGCCAGCCCCGGACCTGCGGACAGGTAAGGCAGCGCTGCCCGCGCCGCGCTCCCCGAGCCCCGGGGTCGGCGGGGGATGCTCCGCCGAGCCGATTCCCCTCTGGCTTCGCAGGGACTGCGGAGCAGTGCGGGGGGCACTTTCCCACTTTCGGTGAGCCCCGGAGGAGACAAAGAGCGGGGTTTTTGGGGGCCGCCGGTGCTGCCGCCGCCGGGACGCGCGCGGTGCCCGGGTCGGGGCGGCATCGCCCGCCGGTGCGAGCGAGCACCGAGCCCGGACAGCGCCGGTGCCGGGGCGCGGTGCCTCCGGACAGCCCCATTGTCACCGTGCCGGGAGCGGGCTCCGGGCTCTCCCGCTGCCGCCCGGGTCCCCCTACTTCGGGGAGTCCTGCAAGTCCCCTCCCGAGATGGCTCTGCCCTTCCCTGGGAGCGAAATCGCCTCGGACAGAGGCACCGTCCTTCTCGCAGGGGCTGAGCCCCTCGCACACGCCACGGGCATGTCCCGGCTCCGGCCGGAGCTGCCGAGGGGCGAAGGAAGCTTTTCCCACCGAGTCATTGTACTTGCAGAGCCGTGCGCTGCCTGGCACCGAGCCCCTGGGCACCCGCGGGTTGCTCTCTGCTCTTCCTCTGTTGATAAAAGTGAAATCTCATTTCTGAATTAAATCAATTTGGCACCAGTTAATGGCTTATTATAGCTGGTAATTCATCACGTAGGATTTAAGTGACACTTATCCAATTCACACCTGAAGTCTTCCGTCAACCGGAGGGTTTAATGGAAGTGGTTTTGTATTCCCATCTCCTCTCCCTTGCAGAAGGAGGCATTAATTCTACACGTTTGGTTCAAAGTGAGAATGTCATGCAAGGAAAAATGTTGAAAGCGCAGCCCAACTGTTCTGCCAGTCGGGACACATCCACGTCTCCCCCCAGAGAAGATCAGGGCAGATCTGCCCCCATTCTTCCCTGTCACACTGGCAGGGACTTTCCGGCCGGGTGAGCAATGACCTTTGCTATTGATTGTGTCCCATTTGTCACCAGGCATTGTGCATGAAACTGGAGAGTCTTCTCTGCCGTGCTGACAGCCAGCGACTATATCTTGGATGCTAATCTCAG